TATTAAGAATTTTAGGAATATATATATATATATATATATATATATTTAAATGAAAAATATAAACGTCATAAGAATCAAACTATTCTAAAATACCAAATCCTCAGGTATTTTTTAAAAATAAAAGCAGTTTCAAAACCTTTTAAATATATAAGGGTACGACATAATTTCTCATTTAATTTTTTTTTTATTTCTTTCTTCTTATTTTTATCTTGTAAAAGTCCTTTGGAAAAAAAATCTTCTAAACATGCACGTATCTCCCTCTCTAAAACTCCACACAATATTTTCTGTATGGCATGAAAAACTCTGAATGAATCTATCCGAAACTGAATAGACCCCCTTGTATTATTGAATATTGTTGACTCGATATGTGTTTAAATGCTTTGTCGGTTGTATATATGTTTCATACTGTATTACTTCCTGCTTTTTGCATTCTTTAAGAAAAGATTTAGGTTTCTTTAATGATTACACTTTCACTTTACTCTGAAAAAACAAAATGTAACTTGTGAAAAAATTGATTTTGAAGTATTAGTTTGTACTTGAATTTGAACCACTATTATCATCGGAGTCTTTTTGTTTGCTCTTAATTACTCATGATGCAAATGCAAGTTTGAGGAAAATGTAACATTCTAGTTTTTATACTTTTTATTGAGGATAATTTAGTAAGTTTTATAATTTATAATTGAAATGGGTCGTTTTTAAATTAGAATGGGTCGTTCTTAAGTTGGAACGGGCCGTTCCAATCTTCCAAAAAAGGATTAAAATCTTAACTGAAACGGGTCGTTCCTAAACTGAAACGGATCATTCTAAGTTATGAAAAAGGCCTAAAAATCTTTGTTTGGAATGGTCGTTCCAGCCTAGTCAATTATGTGTTAATCTTATTTCTGGAACGGGCCGTTCTAGTTTCAGAACGAGTCGTTCCAGTTACAAAATTAACACAGAACGGTCGGATCCAGAACGGGTCGTTCTGGAAACATTTTGATGCCTATAAATAGACAGCTTGGGCACAGGCTCAAAAATTTCATCCAAGATTCCTTAGAACTCGAAATTTTTCTCTCTCTTTCCTATTGTATTTCTTGAGTTTTGTGAGGCATATTGTAGTGTGAAAGGTTGCCGCAAAGCACCTAAAATCTCCATAGTTAAAGATCTAATAAAGCTTGCTACGATGTGAAGGTATCTATTGTCAAAACAAGAGTGAAGATCTGAATTTTCACCTCACTATCACAAGAGAAACAATGGAGCTTCTACTCGAAGACTGAAGATCAGGTGTACAATTTGTCAGCTTTGTTACCCAATAGAGTACGCAACCAACACTCAACTGCTCTAAAGGGTGAGGATACGAGAAAATACACCTATCCAAGGGAAACAACGTAGAAGCGCCAACACTAAAGAGACGAGGAGAAGACCCGGACGAAATGTCTACGTCTTTACTTGCCTTCGAAAAAACAACACATAGCTATCCCAAAGGACAAGTAAAGAGGGGCAGCTGTAGACACCCAATTTCGTCCAGGAGAATACAAACAAGGAAATGGACTTTCATTATTGAAGGAAAGAAGCTCCCGAAGCATGGAAACAACAAGACACGACATCGGAAAGCCTAAAGCTCAAATGAGCTAGTTTTAGTATCCCGGAACGGGCTTCCCAATTCGGAACGGCCCGTTCCAATTTACAAAAAGGGCCTAAAACCCTAATTTGGAACGGACCGTTCCTAAATTGGAATGGGCCGTTCCAAGCTCCTAAAAAAGGGCCTAAAACCCTAGTTTGGAACGGGCCGTTCCTAAATTGGAACGGGTCGTTCTCAGGCCGGAACGGGCCATTCCAATCTCCAAAAAAAGGATTAAAACCTTAACTGGAACGGGTCGTTCCTAAATTGGAACGGGCCGTTCCAAGTTATGAAAAAGGCCTAAAAACCCTTGTTTGGAACAACCTAGCCAATTATGTGTTAATCTTATCTCTGGAATGGGCCGTTCTAGTTTCAGAACAGGCCGTTACGAGCCATTCCAGTTACAAAATTAACATAGAACGATCGGATCCAGAAGGGCCGTTCCGATTTCGGAACGAGCCGTTTTGGAAACTTTTTGATGCCTATAAATAGACAGCTTGGGCACAGTTCTCAGGGCTCAAAAATTTCGTCCAAGACTCCTTAGAGCTTGAAATTTCTCTCTCTCTTTCCTATTGTATTTCTTGAGTTTTGTGAGGCATATTGTAGTGTGAAAGGTTGTCGCAAAGCACCTAAAATCTCCATAGTTAAAGATCTAATAAAGCTTTCTACGAGGTATTACTTATCAATCTCTTGTTCTATCTTTCTCTTCTTTTATTTCATATATTGCTATAATAAATGTAATTATGTAGATATCTTAGGGTTCATCGTGTAATTTATATTTCATGTAAATAATCATTAATAACGGGGATTAAATCTTTAAACTATTAATTTTTATTACGTTATCTTCATCATAGGGTACTGATTTAGGGCGTTGTAGGGGTGCTTAATACATTCTCTACACGTAACCGACCCCCGAACCCAATTTTGGTTATGAAGACCATTATTGGACTTTTAAAAACCTTTTCTTTTTCCAATGTTTTGAGTAAAATATTGGTGGCGACTCCATGAACCTATTTTCAAAACCATTAATTAAAGTTTAGTCTGGTGTCCGGGCTTTCCTTAATTGATGAGATTTTCAAAAGGATGTTTAAACCATAGGTCGCGAGATCAAAAATATTCGGGTTGCGACAACTCTAAAGTATGAAATATTAGGCTTCCTCCCATTATAAATCTCATAGGGTATTTTCTTTAGAATATGCCTAATTAGAACCTTATTTAACACATGACAAGCTGTGTTAATTGCATCAGCCCAAAAATATTTTGGTAGTTTGGTCTCATTCAACATAGTCCTAGCTAACTCCTCAAGAGACCAATTTTTCCTTTCAACAACCCCATTTTGTTGAGGTGTCCTAGGTGCTGAAAAATTATGATTAATACCATGCTCCTCACATAATTTTTGGAACAAAATATTTTGGAATTCACCTCCATGATCACTTCTAATTGAGGTGATATTTGTGTTCTTTTCATTTTAAACAAGCTTAGCAAATTTCTTAAAAGCATTAAAAGCTTCACTTTTATTTGCAAGGAACATAACCCAAGTGAATCTTGAATAGTCATCTACAATAACTAGCCCATAGTAATTTCCACCTAGACTCATGGTTCTTGAAGGACCAAACAAATCCATGTGAATTAATTGTAAAGGTCTAGAAGTTGAAATCTGATTTTTGCTTTTAAAGCTAGCCTTCACTTGCTTGCCTTTTTGACAAGCATCACATAGTTTGTCCTTGCTAATTTTGAGTTTAGGTAATCCTATCACTAACTCCTTTCTACTAAGTTTGTTTAAGTGATCCATGTGTATATGTGCAGCTCTTCTATGCCACAACCAAATATTGTCTTCTTTGGTTATTAAACACTTGGTGTTAGAAATTGC